CTTAAATCTGGGTTTTGCCACATATAAAATGGGAAGAGTATATATTCTCATATAAATACAAGCCCTTCTAGAGCCAGAATTTTCCTTCATCTGTAACTATTTCAAGATTTCAGCTCCCACATGTGAGAATAGCAGAAGAACCTGTGACATTACAATAATATACGTTTTCTTAATGTTTTATGAATTATTATATATTTAAATTTTACATTATTATTTTCATGCATACTAATTAGAACCGTGCCAGGCAGTTCAAAACACTCCTTGAATTACTCAAGAACCGCTGTTTGAAGGCTGTGTAGCAAATTTACCCCTGAAATTTGGTGAAATCAAATAATTTTTCCTTCCTTCCTTCCTTCCTTCCTTCCTTCCTTCCTTCCTTCCTTCCTTCCTTCCTTCCTTCCTTCCTTCCTTCCTTCCTTCCTTCCTTCCTTCCTTCCTTCCTTCCTTCCTTCCTTCCTTCCTTCCTTCCTTCCTTCCTTCCTTCCTTCCTTCCTTCCTTCCTTCCTTCCTTCCTTCCTTCCTTCCTTCCTTCCTTCCTTCCTTCCTTCCTTCCTTCCTTCCTTCCTTCCTTCCTTCCTTCCTTCCTTCCTTCCTTCCTTCCTTCCTTCCTTCCTTCCTTCCTTCCTTCCTTCCTTTCCTCCCTCCCTCCCTCCTTCTTTCTTTCCATCTCAAGCCTGACCTTTCAGGCTTTTTTCTTCATTGCTTAAGGAAATAAGCTGAAGTATCACTGGTTTTTCTACTTGGAGAGCTTATATGCTGTGTTATGTTTTTTCAGGTAATGTGCTGGCCTAGAGAAGTAAATAACAAGTCCAAATCTCTCCAGAGTCAATGTAATATTTTTTAGATTTCTCCTCCTTCACCAATTTTAAATTATTAACTGAAAGATCTGGTTTGCTGAAGCTACCTGCAGCATAAGAAGAAATTATTTCATTCATGTCCCAAAAAGTTTAAACTGCAAAATGCATATTCTTATAGTAAAATGGCTAGAAACTGTTCTTTATGTTGACCAAAAAAAGGAGGATTTTGATGGAAATGAAAAAAAAAAGTATGGAGAAAATGTTGGAAAGTTGGCCAAAATAAAAATTTCACATATTTTTCATCCAGATTAATAATCACAAACTTTTAAATCTGAATTTCAAGATGTTTCAATTGGACTCTGAAAACTGTTTTGAAACGGCACGTCTTAGAAACTTTCCACATCTTGGAGATTGGTGTTTGTAGGTTGCTCATGCTGCTTGGCTCATGCAGTGGAGTGGTGTTCCTGGCCAGGTGACACACCCCAGGTGGCTGCTGGGACAAGGGAATGCATTTGGGAATTTACCAGTCACGAGTGGCATTAAGAATCTGGCCCATGTGCCAGAGCTGGCGAGCAGCCTCAGAGCAGTAGGTGCAGGACATTTCAGCATTAACTTCCAGTCAGGTATCAGTGCAACACTTCAGGAGAAAATTTTTTTCGTTCAGTCAAAGGCTGAATCGCTAACTTTGGTTAGGCCAAAAGCCTGAAGCCTTCCAGTTTTCAAAGGCCTTGCTTGTTGACTAGACTTTAAATTTTAGACAGAATGCAGCTTTCTTTTCAATTTAAAGTAAGAATAGGTGGAGCCTTCTCACCAGATCTGACCAAATGTACAACCAGTGTGATTGATGACAGCTGAGAAGCAAATTCTATAGCCCTATTGTATATTACATTTATCCCAACCAACTTGACCCCTGACTATATTCTTTCTACTTTGTTCTTGTTTTTTTCCCTTTCTTTTGTCCACCTCAAGAGTTTTTCTAAGCACCTTGAGAGCTTCTCTGAGTGACAGCCATAGAAAAGCCACTGTGCCAGAAAAGGATTCTTTCCATGAGTGGATCCCACATTTTCCATTCCCTAGGAAGAACACTACCACCACTAAAAATAATAGATGCATCCAAAGTTATGCTGCTGTGAGGCTTAGGATGAGAAAACTTCAGTGCTTACCAGAAACAAGAGTAATATTCCACATACAGTCCTCTGAAAGGTTATGAAATTAAACTTGTATCATTTGATACACACAGAAGTGGTACTGTTGTCATAGATGATGAGATATGACTACAGACCCTGCAGCCTTTCAGTTCCTTTTCCCCCTGTTATCTGCACAGCTAATATCAGATGACAATGCTGAGATCCACCATTTCTTTTCTAATGCCCTGTTCAAAACTAGAGCCAGCACGTGACATTACAGATTCTATCTCCCTCCTGTGCCCTTGCTTGCTTCTTCTGTCTTCCTCCCACTCAGATGCAAATACATATGCCATTATTTGCCTTTCATGCATGCTTCTATACAATAACAGTGGTATACAGTCTTTTCTTTTTACAGGAAGAACACTACCCTCAGTCATGAGAGATAATTTTCTGTATCTCTGAGAAAGGTATTTGCAGGGGCTTTGACTGAGGAATGAAAAAAAAACTAAAGCAGATCAGTAGAAATTATTTTCTTAATGGCAAAATCTGAATTATACATTAAAGCACCATTTATTCAATCAATTTTATTATTCTGTTTAAAAAGGCAGTCACTTTTATGTGTTTCATATGCTTGCAAAGGTTTATTAGCTTGAGTAAAAGGTCATTATTATTCAATTGAATAATTTAATTTTAAATTATTGGTATTGCACTTCATATTATAACTGGTTTTGCAGATGCATTTGATTATGTCAAATTTGCCTTTTAATCCTCTGTCTGGAGATCATGTTCTTGAATTGTTCACTGTGTCTCACCCTCGTAGTGGGATCCTAATGAACACACAGAGTCCAGCCTCATATCTTCCATGTAAATTACTGTGCATACCTCTTCGAGTCAGATCATATCAGAGGCTATCCGGTGTCGCATAATCCTGGGGACTGACACGTGGAAAATCTTTTCAGGTGATTAATGCCATAGGCATCTAATTTTCCCGCAAAGCAATATTGCAGTGTTTATGTGAATGCAAGACTTAGGGATATGAAATGGGCATTTAGGAAAGTTAATAATCTGGCCCTAATCCCCTCCAAGAATTATCTCTTGGTATTTCTAAAAATAATTGCAGCTTTATTCTTTGTCACTAATGGAATCACATATTAATTTATAACATGCATTGATCATTAAAAACTTGGACTTTTGCATGGGTGAAATAAATATATGTAAAGCTTCACATAAAATACCTTTGCATTTGAAAGATATACTAAGTTATGAAAAATTCACAAAATATTTGTTTTATTGCTTTGTTTTCTTAATGCTTGAGCAAAAATACCCTTCAAAATTGTTTCATGTTTGCTAGAAACATAAGATTTGTCCTTGACTGCACACTTGGAGACTGTGATTTCTGGGCCTAACACTGAAATTCTCAATTAAGATAAAAAATCATACACAAAACAATCCAACACAATAAAATATCAGGGCAGGCAGACCCAGGGTGGAATATTCTGTGAGCACGGGCTCCTCATTGCTGGCATTCAATATCACACCAATAATGTCACTGTGACCAAAGGTGCTGCCTTTACTCACATGTATCTATGAATTACATAATTGTCTGCTGTTATCAGGCTGCTCCTACCTCTGCTGAGTTTTTCCCTCAGCCAGGCATGTCCATTTTTCCCTCAGCCAAATTGTCCACTTCACTAGAAGCAGGATCGGTCTTTCACAGCCTTTCATAATTTTGAACAAATTGAATTTTAGAAAATAATCAGTTCCTGAGATTTGATATAGGAAGCACATTGAAAACAGCTTTTAATACGCATAATTAGCACAAGAATTACAGTCTCATTCCTCTCTTACACTGCCATTACAAGCGTTTATCTCAACTGATTTCAACAGAGCTGCTTCTGTTTTATACTGGTGTGAAGGAACAAAAAGCCCCAAGTTGCATAAATTGTTAACAGCTCTTTCATACTGCCTCTTTATTACCAGATAAAACTTTGATGAAGGACATTCACAGAAGATCAATATGAGAAACCACATAAGACCTGACTTCTATGCTACTGGCTGATACTGAAAATCCCAGAAATATTGTTTCAAACAAAAACTATTTGTTTCTGAAGCTCTTACTTAAGGTGATGACTGGGTTGATACTGCTTTTCCTGAAAGAAATATTTCACCTTGTGGAGATGTTCTGCCTCCTGAGTAAAGTTGCTCCATAGCTTGGATTGCAGGGATACAGGAAAGGAGAGCAGTTGTACATTTAGCAATGAGCAACTCCATCCTTTGTGGAAGAAGGGAAGAAGCCACAGTCCTTTCTGTGCTTTGTGTAGATGCTGCTCCCAGCTGATGAGAAGCACTGCTGTCAGCATCCTAGGAGACTCCATGTGAAGGGCTGCTTGTCTCACCAGGGGAAGTAGGAGCTCTGGGGAAGTTTGGGATCTCCTTCCAAAGAGCTGGCAAATTGCCTCGTCACTGGCAATCTCTACCTGTAATTTACACATGCCAGAGCACAGCTGTGGGGTAAACAACAAGTGATATTGAACTGACCAGTAATATATTGTCTGTGAGCTAATATAGCTCAGGATATATTCACTGCCAAAAGCAAACATTTTCCTTGAAATTCACTTGGACAGCAGTGTTTGTTTATGTTGTGGTTTACCTGTGTATGAAGAAGTGAGCCAGGAGTAGAAATGCAATTGCAATCACAGAGAGAAAGTCTAACTTATATTAATATTTCTTCAGCCTAATAGCTGTCAAATACACATTTCTGCATGTTTGCAGTCTGCTTTAATTTGTTTCTGTCAGATGAAGAGCAAATATTTTATCATGACTGTGCTGTATTTTTGTTTCTATAAAAACCCCCAAGTACCACAACAGTGAAGGTTACAGAGGTGGCTATTTTTAGAAAGTTTGCTCTTGCCACTTAATCAAGACCATCATACTTTACTTGCTTTCCTCCAACTGTTACTAAAGCCATCCATAGCCTTCAAAATCCAAGCATTATGAAGTGGAAATGCCTGTGCAGGAAAGCTCTCCGACGCGACTGAGTGTCGATGACAGGCTTAATCCCGAGCTCAGAGGAAGCTCAGTTGTGCTCCTTTTTGTCCCTGAGGTAGTTGAAGAGGACGTCCAGCCCCCCCTCGACGACCTCGGGCAGGGGCCGGGCCAGGGGGTTGTGGGCGATGTGGAGCCCTTTGTCCATGGGGTTCCAGGCAATGCGGCGCAGCCGGCGCAGCAGGTACAGGTCGTCCGGGAGCGTCTGGATGGCGTTGTAGTCGGCGTTCAGTAACTCCAGAGTGCTGATGTAGCACAGGGACCGTGGCAGGCTGCGTATGTTGTTGTTTTCCACGATAAAGATTTGCAGGTTGACCAGATACTGGATGCTCTCTGCGATGTTTTCCAGCTTGTTGGACCCTAGGTGCAAGAAGTCTAAGCTTCTCAGAGCGAAAATGCAGAGGGGAATTTGCACAAAGCGGTTGTTACTGAGGTTCAGTTTCCTCAAATTTGTCAGGTCAGTGAAGCTCAAAGGCAGTTGTGAGATGCAGTTGTGTGAGAGGCTCAGAACCTCCAGCTTCCTGCACAAGCTGAGCTCTGCTGGCACTTCTTTCAGGCAATTCATATTGACGAACAAGACCTTCAGGTTCCTCAGCAGCCCGATCTCCTTAGGTAGGCACTTGAGGCAGTTGCCACCCAAGTTCAGCACTACCAGCCTGTCCAGCTTCCCCAGGGAAGGAGGAATGACCACCAGCTGGTTGCGTGAGAGGTTCAGCTTCTGCACCTCATGCAGTCCCCACAAGAAGTCAGGCGTGGTGGTCATCCCTTTCATGATGAGGCTCAAGCTGACATAACGCAATCCCCGCTTCAGCAGTGACTTGGGCTCTCTCCCTGCCAGAAGGGCGTCTTCCCATGCAGGCAGCTTGGGGCCTCTCCTAAGGAAAACCATGTTCCTTCGCTCCTCGTTCTTCGAGTGCTCACTTCCCATAACACTCTGGTTCACTCCTGAGAGAACTGAGGTTTTATTCCCTTGCAATATGCAAATGCCAACAGAGGATGACAGCCTGCAGGAGGTGGGAAAGTCAAAGCAAGGAGACAGGGAGGAGCCTGTGAAGTGCATCTCAGTCCACCGGAACAGTTTCCATAGCTGCTGAGGGAAAGTTACACTTTTGGGGGCTTATGCTGATCTTGGTGCACAGTCTGTAATGAAACACTTGCTCCTGACTTGTGAGCAAACCTGTTTAATTCAAACTGAATGCCACAAGACAGCTGTCACTGTCATTTGGCCTGGGCTTTATTGGACAGACATGTATCTTCACTGGAAAAAGGTCACAAGGATGCTGTATATAACTTCACCATGTCAGCTTTCTTGGCTATCTGGTACATACCATGACTGCAGGACAATTAGCAAGAGAGATTTCAAAAAAAACCAAACAGGCAAGCTAAAGAAGGAAACAAGCAAAGAAGCCATCGTTTCAGCTCAGATTTAAAGGATGTTTTCATAATCATTTTTATTTTGGTTCCTGATTTCTCTGAAGTAGTTACCAGTCTACCAGAATATTTTGCATGCTGCAAAAACACTGATAAGCCTTTTTATGTCAGTCCTTGTTTTCTGCTAAGTTAAACAAAAATAGTATTCACAAAAGGTTTTACTTTTGTATGTCCTTTGCGGTGAGGATTGGCCTCTTTCTTTCCAGAAGGGGTGCCAAATTCACTGCAGCAGTGACATTTTGCCCAGTAGTATCTGTGCCCACTTGGATGATTTCTTGCTACCCACAGCACCAAGTGTGAGCAGTCATACCACACAGTTCTAACCACATTACTCTGCCCTAAGTATCCTACTTTCACATCTATGAATCAGATTTTTGGGGTGTGATTCTTTTGTACTCTAGAAAATGGAGCCTCTTGATATCCCTTTCCTTGTGAACTTCCAGGTCTTTGTGGGCTATTCTGGGGTACAGGGGGACTAGCAGTCAAATAGCTTGAACTATAAATGACATTTAGATCCAATATAGAGGGGCTGGTGGAAGAGGAAAGGAGCAGTGAGGTATAATAATACCCAACAACAGCTGAAGTGAGCTCTGCTGGTGAAAGGAAATTGTATTGCTACAGGAATACGTATGCACTATATTTAAACTCAAAGGAACCATAAAAAGGATCTGCAAAAACTTCAGGTATCATCCAAACTAGGAGAAAATTGCAACAAATAGTGCAAGGCTTTCAGGGCTTTTCCTCTCCATTGAATCCAAGGTGATGAAGATGTGTTGCTGCCTTCTGAGAGATTTCGTGATGAATGTACCCTCTCTTACCATCTCATTTCAGAGATCCTCACCTTAAAACCTTGTGTTAGCGCCGCTGCTAAGAGATTATGCAGAAAACTGCAGCTGGAAGTCAAGGCACTCCAGCAACCACTTTGGAGTCAATCCCCACAGCCTTTTCTTACTGCCAAGCACCACACAGTCTCTTTTGAGCTCTGGGTCCCTCACAGAGCTGCATCTGCTTGGGAAGAGAGGGAAGAGAGGGGGCATTCCTGCAGCTCTGTCTGAAGAGTGGGTTCTGCACCAGTCAGGACCACAGCAGGCAGTGTGAGATGGTGGGAGCTGAGTGAGCCACGCAATTAAAACCTGTGTTTGAGCAGGGCTGAGTGGCATAAAACCAGCTGGTGCTGAGGCTGAAATATTGCATTCTCTGGAGTGCCTGGGTGAGCCTGAAAAAGGCTGAGGCCAGTTGTATCTGGTTAGAGTGAGCTGGCAGCCTGTGAGTCACAGATCCCTCCCTCACAAGCACTTTTTGCCAGTATTTGTCAGTTTACATACAAATGTTTCACTAATTGCCATCGCAGCCGTTCTGACTCAGTGTTCTTGTTAACCATCATCCCACATGCTGCACAGAGTGCCAGAGATAACCCTGATGCTGCAGGCAGAGGAGATGCACAGGGGGAAGGAGAAACCCAGTGGCTTGGGCAAGACTGAGTGGGGCCCTAAAATGTGGCACTTCATCCCAAATGGGTCGAGAAGTGAAAGCATAAGCTCCTCATGAGCTCTGCCTTTGGGGTATCTGCCCAGCTGCTGTTAAAAATGCACTTATTATCAGAGAGCATCCATGGATTTGAACATGGCATTTTGCTTCTGCAGTAGGAAGAAAAAGGCTTTTTAGAGAGCATTGGTAAGATTAGTCATTTCCCCTCTTTTTGTCTCAGTTCTGAAATGAGGAATCTTCTGCAGACAATCTGCCAGAATCTGCAGAGACTGGCTTTGCTCCCTGTGGCTGGGCTCTCACCTGTGACCATGGCCCCATGGTCGCTTCAGAGCTCTTCTGCTGCTCACTTTTAGTAACAAATGAAAACAAAACAAAAGGAAGCACAGTATCCCTGTAACAGCCTCCCCTCATAGCTGGCCAGATATTTTTGGATGAGAACATTGTCCCCATCTCCAAAACACACTGGAGTTTACTGCCTGGGGACTTGGCAGTGCCAGCTGTGGCTTCTCACCACAGAAATCCTCATTTCCTAACAGTGTGACTCAGCCAAAGTGCTCTGTACCCTTCCCTGGCTTTGCATCACACTGTCCATTTGAAACCAGGCCTGTGATAGAGCCCAGCAGAGCCTGGACTGGGCTGTTTCTGGAAAGCTTCACCAGGGGATCTCTATCAAAGAAAAATGCTTGTTCTGCTTCAGCCTCACAGCATCTCCTGCTGTATCTCCACTGTCTGCCAGACAGCAAGCAGCAGCAAAGGGGATTTAAAAAAGACATTCCACATCTGCAGCTCTCATTGTCCAGTTCCCTTCCTGCCTCTGTGAGCACCTTAACCACTGTGTGAAACAAAAATAAAAAAAGACAAACCATTTCCTATTCTTTGTTTTCCAGCAGAAAAACAGGCTATTGAGTATGCTTGCTATTGTGGAGACTGGAAACTCTGAGTTAACCCAATCAAATTTTTCTTTAAATTGAGATAATAAAACCACAGTGGCCTCATCTGGACATCTCAGGAACTAAAATTCTGTACAAAAATAGTCCCTTGTCTCTTGGTGTCCTGGAGTGGCTTTGTTAAAACACTTTTCTTTCCCCTTTCCTCTGTGTTGCCTGCTGCCCTGTCCTGGCCCTTGCTGTGCTGCACTGTGAGGATGGATCCGTTCCTTTGGAATGCTCTTAGGCAGCACTGACCTGTGCCCACACAGCCTGGCAGAAAGCAGAAATGAATTTCATGCATGCAAGTTTGGAAGCCCAAACTGGTGGGCTTTACATGACAGTGTTCTTGTAAATGGCTTTGTGGATTAAACAAAAATGTTCATGTTCAAGGGAAAAAAATAACCCAAAGCTTGTTGAAGGACTTTGTAGTCTAACTAGTATAATAAAAGAAACTGCATTATTAACAATTATAAAAAACTGGTAAGCTGACAAAAATGACAAGCTATATTTTCTGACATTCTTTGACAATGCAAATTATTAGATTTTTTTCCTTAAAGAATCAGGATTGTCAGCCCTAAAAAAATCCGAAGATGAGTTCACAAAAGACTTGGAATTTTAAAGTCTATTATCTATGGAATCTTTTATTTGTCTTCAGGTTTTGAGTCTGTAGAACGAGCTTGGGATACATTTTCTAGCTTTTTTTTTCTGCATCCAGGTAGGACTTGCCATAAAATCAATTGCATTGGTTTTAAGTAAAAGTTGAGATCATCACATAACTATTTTCCATAGGATTTGAGATTTTAATGAAATATCTGATAGAATCATGCTTTTAATAAAACCATAGCTATTTTGATGCACTGAGTTTAAATTTTGTTTAGCTGCAAAACTGATCCTGTCATTGTCTTTTTAAATTGTTGAGCTTACAATAGATACCTATAGTTTCATTATCACATATGTTTAGGTTCATAATTTATTTTGAAACAAGTTCTATGTTCTCTATGGTGTCAAAACCTTATATAGTTTTTCTGTCTCAGTACTTTTACAAATATATTAATATAAGAAGAAATCCCTTAAATCTTTAAGCATAGCCATTTCTAAAATGCTGGGAAATTCAACCCACACTCTTTTGTAAGAAATTTTCATTTAATTAATTATCTAGGTCTTAATAAACACCTGTTTAAATGAGGATGAAGAAACTACCTAATACTTCCTGTGACAGGAAGGATGACTTGGCTAAAAAGGGTTAACTCATTTCAAGTTCAGCAGAAAACAAGCAATGCTGGAGAAATATTCATTACAAATACAGCTGCAGCTACTGAACCATCTTCTCTTTTGCTATTTCTTTCCTCTAAAATACAGTAAATAAAGGATTTTAAAAGTATCAGCACCATTCAGACTCTCAGAGAAATCCCCTGGTCTTAGTGCTAAGAAAGCAAATTTTGTAGGTTTTTAACTACTTTGTAGTAGCTTGTTGATCTTGCAGCTATTCTGAAATACTAAGTCAAATTTTAATGGTAATTTGAGATTTATGAGATGTGACACAAGACAGAAACAATTCTTCAGGCAATTTCAGATTTCCTGTTAATTTGTTTTTAATTATGAAGCTGTTAACAGCTTTTAATGACTATCTGTCCCTGGAGCTTTCTTGGAATGCTTCATTAAGGTCCCATGTGGAGATGCTGGATTGCCTGACCCACGAAGAATTGGACCTGGAGGTGAATGACTGCCTGTGCAGGGGCTCATTTTTCTGCAGACCTCTTGACAGAAGACAAGCTTGAACTAAACCTAGTATGAAATAAAAATAGAGAGATTTTAGGCTGTGTGTGTATGTAGCCTAGAAATGACAGGCTCTCCCTCCTGGTAGTCAGGGACAGCAGCAATTCTTATATGGCATGGAATTAGAGGAAGTTTTAATCCTCTTTTTGCAAACTTGCCATAATATTTTGAATTTCCAGCAAATACATGAATGACTGTTTTGGCACATCCTACTTCTGCCACAATTTCCCACAATTTCCCTGGGTGTACACAAGCCAAACAGCTGGTCTGTCTTCTATATTAAACAGAGGCAATCCATGATCCTACACTGTGCCATCATCCATGTTCTCTGGGACACTGTTTCATCTCCTGCCCGTTGCAGTTCTCCCTGGCATCACCAAAACTTGCTTTCTCTAGGTCCTTGCTCACTCCTCTGCAGGAAAAGGGGTGTGCAGCA